AACCAAAGCTCAATCACAATCTATTCGAATGATTCAATTTGATTGATTGCTGAATTCTGAGATTAACATTAACTGCTTACTCTTTTAACCTGAATTGAAGGCAATTGGGCCAATAATTTAGATGGATTTTAGTTTAGGATTTTTAGCTTTTGAATAAAGTTTTGATTTGTTGTTGATCAGATAAGAAGTGACCAATTTAATATTAGTAATTGTTTCCTAGATCCTCATGGGAATGATACTCTATTCACTATTTTACTACTTGAACGGCTAGTGCATTTGCTAGTGTCACAATGAGCCACATCAAAGTTCTTGGCATTAGAGAGGGGATTCCATTTGAATGCTGTGACAGTCCCCAGATCAGTCTGGAAGTTGACAGCCGAGAGGTCTACTCTGTTCTCCCCAAAATCAACTACAGCTTCACATTTATTAAAGGGAGTCACAATAAACTCATGCTTCAGTTTCAGGTTCAATATTAAATAATCTGCAACTCTCCTCCATTCAACATTCTTCGTCCCTGCCTCTACTGTAAATTTGTTCTCCCACTCTTCCTTCTTCGAGTAATCCAAAACCCTGCATTGACCATTGGCTTTTGCTAAGATTATAGATCCCTGCTCCATGCTTCCAGTTAAGGTATCTCTCTCAACCACCCCATCTTCTTTTCCTGAACTCTCCTTTGTTCATGTTACTCCACGGAGCAAAAATTCTTGAAGCACCTTATTCACATCCCTCCACCCCTGGTTTTGTTTTCCTGTTGGGAAACAAACCAACTGTTTCTTTCCTCCACCGAAGAACTCAGCCAGAGCTATGTAGCACCCTTTCACATTCTTTCTGCTCTCAACAGTATATTTCTTACCTTCATCAACTGCAAGCTCTTGACTGTTATTTTGCTTACCTTTCAAATTAGCCCCTTCCACAAACTTCTGTAACCATTCCACTACTTTTGTTCCAGACAATAGAACCATAGCCCTCCTTGCTTCCCTTATCTTCAGACTTAGCTTTCCTCTACCTTTCTCTTCCTCAAACAGGAAAACCTTAGCTTCAACCTTCAAATTTCTTCTCCATCTTCCTACCTCCACGAACCTTTTCTCCATTCCCAAGTCAGAACTTTGTTTTTCCCCTTCTAATTTGTTTTTTATTTTTTTTAGATGGATGTTAAAAATGCCTTCCTCAACAGAGACTTGTAGGAAGAAGTTTACATGCAGTTGCCTCCTGGATTTTATGATGCAGAAACAGGAAAGAAGGTTTGCCGGTTGAACAAAGCCTTGTATGGACTAAAACAGTCCCCCAGAGCTTGGTTTGATATATTTAGACAAGCCCTTGAAAGGTTTGGTTATGTGCAGGCCCAGTCAGACCACACCTTGTTTATTAAGAAAGTGGATACTTTCTTAACCTTGCTTGCTGTATATGTGGATGATATTGTAGTGACAATGAGTGATAACAGTGAGATCGAGTCTCTTAAGCAACTCTTTCATCAAGAATTTGAGTTTAAAGATCTGGGAGAGCTACGATACTTATTGGGTATTGAGGTAAGAAAGTATGTTCTTGACTTGTTGGAAGAAACTGGAAAGTTGGGTGTTAAGCTTGTTGACACACCTATTGAACAGAACCACAAGATTAGTGCAGAGGGTGGAGAGCCTCTTGAAGATGAAGCTATGTTCCAATGGTTAGTTGGAAAACTCCTCTATCTTTGTCTCTCACGACCGGACATCAGTTATGCATTCAGTGTTGTTAGTTAGTATATGCACTCTCCTAAAACTACTCACCTACTTGCAGTTGAGAAGATATTGGCATATTTGAAGAGGTGCCCAGACAGAGGTGTTTTATTCAAGAATAATGACCACATGAAGATAGAAATTTACACAGATGCTGATTGGGCTGGGTGTGTTGATGATAGAAGATCTATCTCTGGATATTGTGCTTTTGTAGGAGGTAATCTTGTCTCTTGGAGGAGTAAGAAACAAAATGTTGTTTCTCGTTCTAGTGCTGAAGCTGAATATAGGTCCATAGCAAATGGTGTGGCTGAGATTCTATGGTTGAGATCACTATTTAAGGAGTTGGGTATTGCTTATGGGAAGCCCTTAATGCTGTATTGTGATAATCAGGCTGCTATTAATATAGCCCATAATCTGGTACAACATGACAGAACTAAGCATATTGAAGTGGACCGACATTTTATCAGAGAAAGGGATGCATCTCAAGAAGTATGTCTTCCGTATATCACCTCCGACATGTAGCCTGCAGATCTTCTCACCAAGGCTGTTTCAAGGAAGAAGTTAGAGGCAAACCTATGCAAGTTGGGAATGACAAATATCTATTCCCAACTTGAGGGGGAGTGTAGAGAACACTGATGTGGACCCCACTGTGTTTGTATGATAGTAGTAGGCAGTTAGTTATGTTAGTTTTCAGTTGTTAGTAGTTGGTAGTTTATTTCAGCTTTATATTAGTCTTTATTTTATTATTTTGCCATGTAAGCAATAAGGGTAATTCAATCCTTTTACAATTATGAGAATATGAATATAAATATAAGAGGGGTGGATATTTGGAATAACCCCTCTCTCTCTTTCTTAGAAATCTCTCTTTGTGTTCTCTCTCTCCTTCTCTCTTCTCCCCTTCTCTTCTCCTCTTCTTCTTTTAGTTTTATTTATTTTCTGTTCAAAACCTAAGACTGATTGTAGTCTTGTACGACTACTGTTTCTTAGCTTTGTTTAATGATTTGCAACAAGATAATAATTTAAAAAGGTGTGCCTATGCTTCTTTTATCATTTCATAAAACCTCTATATTTTGCATATTTTAAAATGTTTCCACCATGTCTATAATTTTTACAATATTTCCATACGATATTTTTGACATTTCCGACATGTTTCTTATATTTGAATGGCTGACATTTCCACCGACATCGACATTTTAATATATCATGTAGGTAGGCACTTCAGCTTGATCACAGTAACTATTGAGTATATGGTAATTGGTGTCAAAATTTGATTTCATGAGAGAGGACTTGTATTAGATACTTTTATCGATGGGACTTAAAACCTGGAACTGCAAACTTCTCAGATGAGAAGAAAAATTTTTATCATCATTACTGCCAAGTGATCCATGCCATTGGTAATTGGTTTACATATTTGGTGGTGTTTGTGTTTTCTCTATTGCATCATTACCTTCCTTGTTATGAGAAGTAATGAGTATATGGTTAGTATCAAATGTTTCATATTTTTCTACTTTAACAATTTTAATTCACTTTTAACAAGGCAAAGATTGTTTCCAATGTCTTTGATATTAAGTAGGCTGCAGGTTAAAGTAGTTAGACTTGTATTATTTTTGGTCTAAAGTATCTTTTGTTATCTAATGCTTTCAGTTATAGATATAAGATGAATTTTTGATGTTAGTGAAGTGAATTAAACTAATTAGATAATAATTGCTGCAAAATTGCAAATACTTGAATTCTATTACGATTTTTTCATTGTAGTGTTCAATCTTGCATAGCTGGTTCTCTTCTACCTCAAATTTAGTGGGTGCTTGACTCTGAGTTTTCCCCTAACTGAAGGATTTGTGGTAGTAACATACAGTACTTAATACTTATCTACTGATTAAAAAAGACGTCATTCAGTTCTTTGAAACCCTGTAGTACAAGTGTCCATTGGTAAATAAGTAAATTCTCATTTGGCTTTTTGGTTTGTAGTTCCTTTCTAGAGTAGCAGATGTTCTCTCAGATTATCTTGGGGGATTGAATGAAGATCTGATCAAGGACAACTTTGTCATTGTATATGAGGTATGTTCTTAACCATCTTTCCTTGCTGAACTGTAGTTTCTCTGGAATTTGTCAGAATCAACACTGTAGTTGGTTGCAAGAGGGATAATAAATTATTTAAATGTTCTATCCTGAGGTTTTGTGTACATATTGACTATTTAAGGTTTTCTATATGTTGGGACAATGTTCTTACTGTTCACAATTTTTGCTTTTTTGGGGTGGGGGTAGGGTGCTGAGCTGGGTTTATGTTTTTTATATATAATTTGATGGATAACTTTATTTTTATTTGATGGGTGTTTGCAATATGCCCAGTGCCCCTTTTGTTAATATGGCCAAAACCATCTCCCTACACCCAAAACTTAGTTCTTATAATCATTCTGTATTTAAAAGTCCCTAGAATAATTTTTCCTCATGTTCTCCTTGTTTAGCTAAACTGTCAGCCAAACCATTGGCTGATCTTTGCACCCAAGTGAATGTAAAATTTCTTTCCTTTTGTTAGAGTGAGCCGAATAGGGGCAGTTTAGTAATCTCATGTCAGTTAAGTACTTTGCTTATGTGGCTGTTTTATTAGAGTACTCTGCCCCACACTTAAGTGAGGGCAGTTTAGTCTTTGTAAGTGTAATTAGAACCTAATAAACATTAGGGGGTCGACTGAATGTGAGACTAATCAGTTTCGA